TCGCTCTGGAGAAGCCATTACTCCATAGAGGAAGAGTCACATTTTTGCTCTCCATCTATGGATACACCAGGATGTTCAACTTGCAAGGCAGCTCCAGCCACACTCTAACTCAGCTCCAAGAGCAGCTGGGAACAGCCTGGAGCAGGGAGCAGTGCTGGCACCTGCCCTGGCAAACCCCATGACCACGGGCACCACACAGAGCCCAGAGACACCTTGGGCCTCACCTTAGGCAGGACAGAACACAGTGGCTCTGACTACAGCTGCAGCTCAATAACTAACATCACTTTAATGCAATACTGCTGTAGAGCCTGGAAACCCAAGGAAAAAAAAAGAACCCTTTATGTTCTATGTACATTACATCCATTTACAGTTGGCCAGTACTGTGTACAACATATAAATACATGATCAAACAGATGCATAGAGGATACTTACAGGAGCCAAATAATTCACTTTATACATCCAAGAATGAAAATATTAAAAAAAAAAAAAAGGAAAAAACACTGCTTTAAATGTCAGATGATGGTCACACAGATGCACAGCTAGATGCTTGCAAGTGGTCAGGTGTTCCTGTGTTAAGGTCCTCATTGCTGGGCTGCAAGGTGGAGCTCAGTGGTCACATCAATGAGCTCCTGGGAGCTCCATGCTGGGTGGTGGCAGCTCGGCCACCAGGGGAGTCACGGCGGGTGGGCAGGGCATGGAGCTCCTGCACACCCTGCCCTGCAGACCAGCAGAAGACATTCCCCTGGCACCTGCCACATTTTTCCTCTCCATGCATCCTCCGGGTAGGCTCCATCCACCCGCTGAGCTGTGCCCTCCCCCCACTGCAGGGACCTCCACTGGGCTCCAGCAAAGCCCACAGGCCCTGCAGAACTGTCGTGCCAGAGCAACTCCGTGCTCACGTTGCTGCACAGCAGCAAGTCCCACACAAACTGGGAATGGCAATGGCAGGAGGGGAGAGTGGAAGACTGTAGGGCCTCACCTAGCACAGTCCTGAACTGAACACACCCTGTTCCAGTTCCTTTGGATGTAAAGGTTTCCTTGGCAGAGGATCCTTGGATGCCACAGCAAACTGCCAGTGCCGCCTCGGCGCGTGTCCCGGGCAGCGCCCGTGTTCCCACGATGGCATGAAGCAGGAAGGTCGCTCCAGGGGGCACAGCCCAATGAGGCCGGAGTGTAACCATGGGCAAGGAAGGGTTCTGCACTGGAGATTTCCATGGGAAGGCCAGTCAACTTTCCTCACCACACTGGAGTGTGGCAGCACTTCTACTATCAACAGGAGAGCATCTTGTGTGCAGGTTTGAGGATCAGTCGTTATCAAAATACACACACTGAATGTACAGTTTGTCCCATGGCCATAATTTATTATCTCACCACAAGGCACAATACACAAAGCTTAGAGGGTCCTATACAGTCATCGTGACAGAAGGCCCCGCAGCCCTTACACATGATCATGGCTTTCAGGCTGCACGAGCACTTGAACGAGATCTCGTCGACGCTGCTGCCATCAGCAAACATCTGCACGGAGAGGGACGAGTTGTGGCTGGCAGCAAAGTTTGCTTTGTGGGTCAGCTGCATCATGCTCCCAGCAAGGCTTCTGGGAAAAGCTGGAGTGTTGGATGAATAATTAAAGCTGGTGGAATTAAGCTGCAGCTTAGAAAGCTTCCCATAAAATGCTTGCTTGATATTGAGCTGGGAGGGTATGGAAGAAGGCTCCAAAGGGTGATTGTGTCCTTTTCCTGGTTCCCTTGAAAACTTAAAGAATGGCAAGTCCCCCAGCAGGGGAACACCCTGCAGAGCCTGGCTCTGCTCGGTGGGGCCGGGCGCCGCGTCCTGCCGGTTCTCCGCGTTGCTCTTGGCCGGGCTGGCACACCCCAGCACCTTCTCAGTTTTAATTCCTCCCAGGGTGCCCACGTGCTGCTTTGAAGTCCATTCCTCCCTTGCAACTGGCATTCCTTCTCCTGGTGCACGGCTCTTGTTCAGAGAGACCTGTTTGCTGGGGGACAAGGTTCCCAAGGCCGACACCAGATCCAAAGCCCTGGAGTGATGCAGTCGGACACTGGGGTTGTGAGAGAAACCAGAGCCAAAGAGTTTTTTGCCTTGCACTCCATAACTTTTGTTCACCGATGCACCTCCCGTCTGATTTGGACCAAGAGCAGGTACAGCTGGAGATACAAACTGAGGCTCTGTAGAGGTCTTCAGCTTCTCTGGACTTTTCTTTGTGCTGACACTTGTCACTGGCTTGTGCTGTGGCACCCGATGGACCTTGGACAATTCCTTCTGTTCCTCAAAGCTACAGGAAGAAAATGTTCTTTCCTGAGGGCCCACGTCTTCAGGCTTCTGAGAGGCACTTGCCACATTTGCCAGTTGGTCTTGGCAGCTTAAAGTCAAGCCAACTTTGGAATGTTTTTCTGGAATAGACTGACCCTCTGCATCTCCCGTGCTAGGCAATGCTGCCCCTGATCCACACATTGTTCCCTGGGGATCTTTGGAAGATCTCACCACGTGGAAGTCATCGCTCCTGCTTAGGGCACTTGCCTTTATTCCCACATCCGGAGAAGATCCTTTGCCAAAATAGCAACTGCTGCCTCTCTCCATTTGCAGGGAGAGGCTTTCTGGCTGCTTGTCCAGCCCTGGCTGTGCAATCTCCAGCTTGATGTTGGTGTGAGATACTGGGAGAACTTCTTGCAGTGGAAGGTTCCCCTTGAGCAGCTGCATCACCAAAGGGTTGTTGGTTTCAACAAAGGACACAGGCCGGGCAGGACCCACTGGCCGCTCAGGTTTGGGGGCCGATGGTGCCAGTGGTGCCCATGGAGGAGCAGCACCCACTGCTGACTTGGCAGGGAAGTCCCCTCCAGGGGCCAGACTACCTGGTTCCACTGGTGATTTGGATCTAATCCTGTCACATCTCTCTGAGCTGCTGTGACAGGAGGAGTCTTTTCCAACCACCTCCCTGCAGCCGACGCTCCTGAAACACAAATCCATCTCCACACTCTCATCAGCTCCATCACCTTCAAAATCCGAGGCAGTGTCTGTTGTTCCACTGTGTGTGCTCTGCACCTCCTCATCCCATTTTGTCTTGAGCTCTCCAGTCTCTTTCGATGCCTGTTGTGCACTTTCTGGTGCTGTTCTGGGGCACTTCTCCCTCAGCTGCAGTTTTTCAGCAGCATCCGTCCTGTTCTGAGACACAAAGTCATCATGTGAAGAAGACTTCACCAGGGACTCTGTGTCCAGCTCCTCAGTTCCTGGTTTGTCCCCACTTATGCTCTCTGCCCATGGGTGGGAGCAGTTACACAGAGCAGAGACCACGGTCTCCACTCCAGAACTTGCTGCCTTGGAGTTACCACCATCAGCCACACGTTTTTCCACAAATGTTTCAGAGCCATTAAATCTGAAGCTCATGACCATTTCTGGCTCATGGTGTTGTTCTTTACCAACTGATGACAATTCTGGCAGAAGAGCAGGACAACTGGAGGAAGCTTCCTTTACGTCAGAAGGATAATCCAGCTGCACAGTGGGAGCACAGACATCTTGGAGCAGAGACCCCTCTCCCATGGGACTGACGACAGCTCCCTGCCCCTGGAAGCAGGATAGGCCATCGACTGGAGGAGCCACGTGCTTCAGCTTTGAGTTCTGCCTCTCCTGTGGTGCAGAACAAGGTGGGGCTTCAGTCCGTGGCTCACAGAGGAGCTGCTCTGGGCTCTCCTGCTGCCTCTCACAAGTTGCGCTGTCCAAGGACAACCCAGTCCAAGCCTCACAGATCTGCCTCCCAGGGCAACCACCGCCAGGCTGAGCTTCCCCTGATCTAGTGCCCGTGGCACGCTTCACAGCACCACTTCCCTCCCTCTTTGAGGACAAGGGGTCTTCTCTGGAGGAGAGCAAAGGACTCGTGTTTGCCTCCCGCGCAGCCACCTCCGAGTTGGGCTTCTCCCCGCTCAGGTGCAGAGGCGGCAGTAATTGTGCTCGCTGTAGATCTGACGAACGCTTTCCACGATTTCTCCTGGATCTCCTGCGCTCTGCTCGGCTGCGGGATCCTCCTCCACCCCCTCCTGCATCCGTGCTCCTCCCTCCGCCGGGGCCGCCCCCGCCCCCGATGGCAGCGGCTTCTCGCTGGGCTCGGGCCTGCAGGGCTCGGGCCTTGATGTCTGCCAGGGTTCTGGCCCCGGCCCGGCCCCGGCTGGAGGGCTCCGTGCTGGGGATGATCCTGGGGCATATCTGGTAAGTGGGCTGACCTTTAACCACCCAGGGTGGTTTAATACGTGAAAGTTGAATCTGGGGGGCGAAAAAGAAGAAGAAAAAAAGGGGAAAAGCAATTAGCTGTAAACCTGAGCGCTTCCCACAGTGAGGTGCATTTTATTAGCACCTGTTCTTCACAATCCCTACCACAGGAATTCAACAACAATTTAAAATTCCAACTTGAAAAAAAAAAAAAGGATCTTGGCAGAGAAGGACCGTGCTCCCCACTGCTGTACCTGCTCTGTCATGCCACATGTAAAACTCAGTTCATATTAACATTGTTTTACTAATACATAGTAAGTGATTTGCATTCAGATCCTCAGAAATCAGAAGGGTCTCCTCTACATCAGGATGAGTACCCTGAAGCTAACAAGATGGATCCCTCCAGTCAGAACAGGGAAAGTCAGACAGAACACTGAGATTCTGCCCAGAAGGAGAGGAACTGAGAAGCTACACTGAAGGCTACGGTGTGAAGGTCTCTCCTGCAGCTACTCTCAGGAAGCATGATTTCTGTATCCACAGAAATGCAATCTAGAGTAAGTCAAGGTTACCCAGTGCTCTTGTGCAAAGACCTTGGAATGATTTTCCACTCTTTGCCTGTCTAAATAAGAGGGAACTGCAGCACACAGCAGTGCTCAGCCAACCCTGCCAACGAACCCCTTCCACTCTTCCTCTGAAGATGACAACACTTGACATTTTAATCATGTTTTGATGCTAGTGAGTATGACAGCCCCAAGATATCAAGCAGCTCTAATTGCCTCTCCTACCCGGATGGGTGGGACTTTTGGCTCCTCTTTAGTAGGCTGTGGCTTTTCTGGGTGAACACTTTCAATTGTGTTACGAAAGGACTGACGATCTTCAAGCCGGGGCTTCTTTTCGGGGAAGGATGCAGAGGCAGCCTCCTCGAAGCATTTCCTCTTCTGGTCCTTGGGCTCCCGGGCAGAGTTCTCCTGGGGCAAACCTGGAATTCTGTTTGCAGCTGCCAACGACAGATCTTCCGACGTGCTGTGCAATTTGGAAGTCTCTGGAGAGTGGTGCAATTCTGAACTCTCCGGCTTCACCACTGCAGCCGAAGGGCTCACCAGAGCGTCTTTCTTCAGGTCTACCTCAGGCTTTGGCTCTTTATGGAGAGAGGAGTCTGGCTCCACAGGAGCAGGCTCCTTGGCAGGCTCTGTCTGCTCAGGCTCCCGCAGCCTGTAGAGGCTCCTCCGGGCCCGGCAGCGCAGGTCGGCCCGCGAGCGCCGGCGGAAGCGCCCGTCCCTCTGCCGCGCCGCAGGGCCGCGCGCCGGCCGGGCCTCCCCTTTAGCTGCCAGCCCTGTCCTGTTCTCAGCATCTTCCTGCACCAAATTCTGCTCCTGGGATTCTTCTTGGGTCAAGCCCAACCTAGGAGGCAAACATAAAAAGCAGCTAAAAGCGAGCGCCCATCCTGATCCCAGCATTCATCTCTCGGACACAGCTCCAGTCACCACACACAGGGACACAGGCCACGGAGCAGAGACTCAGCAAAACCCCACCCAGGCTGCAGGGAGATAACCTACACACTTGCTGCCCCACATTGCTGCCACAGGGCATGAGAAAAGTAAGGAAACAAAGATTTGTGAGGGAAAGTGAGTACTACTAACTTGTCTCTGAAACAAAATAGATGGGTTACAAAACTCTGCTCTTCCCCAGCCAATTCCACTCAGGATTTTCCTGGAGCAACAGTCACCCCACAACCTGAATTTTTTCAAGGAGTTTCTGCTGCATTTTCTCAAGTACCCACAAGCAGAAGCACATCCTGCCACTGCAAAAGCACAGATAAAGCAGGAGAGAGGAAGTATAATTTCTCACTTTTGTCCATAGTAGTCCTCAAAGAACTTCTCTTTCCACTGCTCCACCCTCTTCTCCTTTTCCATCTCCTGCCGAATTCGAACTTGCATCTCATGGGTGAATTCACCTGCATGGAAGCAGGAGACTGAAATTCAGTTCCAAACCAAACTGATTCTGCAAGTGCAACTTTGTGTGTTTGAACAGCCCGGTAGCTACATATACAAAAGATATTGTCCAGCTCTCAAGAGCCACATGCTGCCTGCAACTCCTTAAGGGCAGTGGGTCACACAGTCAGGCAGTGGTCACACAGCCTCAAGCAAGTCTGAAAATAAGTCATGTTTTACCAGTCACAGGCCATAATTTAAGGAAAGACAAGCCTGGCACTACTTGACACTTTCACCATCCCATTCTGAAAGTCTCAGGGCAGCAAAGGAAAAAAAAACATCTTTGATTTTAAAGAAATAGAAGAAAAAAAATTAAATGCTGAGGGCAACGGAGCCAGAGATACACTGCAAGGCTGGACTAAATTCCAGTTCATCAACTGCAAACCAGAAGAATCCCATAAAAGGAGCACCCAGTCTGCAGCCTCTCACCATCCGCCAGCCGCTCCCTCCAGCTCTGCGCCGCGTGGGTGAAGAACTCGTTGTTGAGGGCGCTGCCGCTGAGGCGCATCAGCCCGTCAGCCCCCACCTGGGGACACAGAGCACACACTGCAGCCCCCCCGCCAGCCACGGGCCAGGCAGGGGATGGAAGCCCACCCCGAGTGCTGCAGCCTGTACCTGTCTATCCACTTCTGGCAGGAGGTAGAGGAGCTGCTGCTGGAAGTGTGATGGGAGCGCGTTGAAGGTTCTGGAGTTGATCAGAGCTCGCAGGTTCGTGTTGACCAGGATGGAACCTGGTGTTTCAAAGTCAATGTCCTCACCCCGGTTGCGTTTCATTTGCCCTGTAGTGTAAGGACAAAGAAAATCAACATTGTATAAAAGTATTTCAGCATTACGGGCAAGAAATTAACATCAAACTACTACAGGAAAAGGAGGACCTGCGAGAAAAGCCTGTAGCTTTCAAGTGTGAAGACTCTCCAACACAGCAGTTAATAGATGTGGCTTCTGGGATTTTGAGACAAGATCACATTTCAGTCCCGTTCAGGTACAATTCCTGGTGCTGCTCCTCAGAGCAGGCAAACCTTTCTAATCAGTTGTCTCACTGATGTTCAGGGAGGAAGGGCCAGCCTGCCACCTCCAAGATGGTCACACACCTTCAAACTCTCGGTGTGCTTTTCTCAGACATCCACAACTTCAGCACTGTCTGCTTTTATGGCCAATTATTCTTCTAACTCTAACCAGAGACACCTACCAGCTGTGGGCTTCCTGATGCCCCTCAGGAGTTGCGGGGGGTCCCTGTTTATTTCTGCCCGGCTGCGCAGGGTGGCTTTGCACAGGGCCAAGGAGCTGCTGCTGCTGCTGGACGTGCTGCTGCTCTCCCCGTCAGCGTGCCTGCCTGTGAGGCCTAAGAGCAAAACAACCTCTAAAAACATGCAAGGAACAGCAGAAGCCCATCATGGAGAGTGTATCAATTACAAGAATGATTTGCTATTGTCACTCAGTTACCAACCATTTTGATGGAGTTAAACAAGCACACAACTATCTACAGTCCCAGGCATTCTCAGCAGGTGCTAAAGAAATCCTCAGACAAACTTACAGACAATCAGGGATTACTGATTCAAAGCCACCTGGGCAGTCATTAGAGACCCCCACAGCAAAGCAGGGCTCACCAGAGGCAGATTCCATGTGTGCCCCATTTACTTTCAGTGGTGTCAGGACCACGCGTGGCAGCATCACACCTGTCTTCTTCTTCTGTTTGGCTGTCTGCAGTCCAGAAAGAGACCAAAAACACAACAAAGGAATAAAGACATTATGGAGGAGTAAAATAAGCTTCTAAGCAGCATGTTCCTCAGTTAAAGAATTACTAGCTCCTAGTAAAGCTTTGGGTTCCATTCATTTATGAATTGCAGAGGATTCCAGATCATTTCCCTGTACATGATCCCTCCCCATTCTGCAAACTCCCCCTTAAGGGGACAGCCCCAGAACTCTCTGGGGACCAGGGAACTCACCCAGCTAGCAGGCAGAAATAAAAGCTCCCCTTGAAAGGCCTCATGCTGCCCACCAGTCCCACTTTTTCCTACCTGGGAGGCAGCTCTGTGGCTCTCCCTGGCAGCAGCAGGTCCCTTGCTCTGGGATTCGGTGGAACAGGAGGCGTTGGAGGAGGTTTCATCAAGAGACACTGAAAGAGAGGTGGGCTTGGTCAGACACAGCAGTAGATCCTACAGCTGAAGATCAATGTCATTAGACACTTACCATCATTATCCCCACTCACAGTGCTTGCTTCGTTGGACCCGCAACTTTCAGCATCCGCTGTGTCCTCCAGCTCCTCCCCTTCTGGCATGGGTGGGTTCCGGGACCACTGCAAGGCATCCTTCTAAACAGGCAAACAGAACCAGGATGCTACAGTCCTCCCCACGACACCACCACTTCAGCCCCCAGGAACAGACAGTTCAGTGGATATTGGTTTTAAAGCTTTTTTTTCTCTTTCATCTTCCCTATTTTAATCCTCAGTGCAGAAAGATATTGTAAAGTATCTTTGTGCTCACGGTGGCACAGAAGTCGTGTCAGCGACTCACACACTTCAGACACTTCCCAGACAACTCAAACACACCCAAAATACTTAGCACCAGTAATTCATCACCATTTTCTGCAAGCAAGCAGCTTCCATTACAGAGAACTCTCTCATTGTTACTGCAAAGGAACAGGTAGCATCTGAGTAGCTAAATCCTAAGACAGTCAGTTTAAGAGATGCATTTACTACTTGTACAATCAAAGCCATTTCAATGCCATCTATTTTCAGCAAAATATGGCAATTCAACAGCAATTTCTGGCAGCAGAAAAAAAGATGCAAATGAAATAGCTGAGATACCTGTTGTCTATCAAGCTGATATTTATCAGGGCATCCAACAGTACAAAACAATCCAAAAGAAAAGCCTGAGACCAGAAACATCTTCAACATGTAAGATTACTGGGACAATAACCTAAAAATAATGTTTCAGAGAGACCTAATATTCAGAGGAAAACGGTGACACCAAATATACATGGAATGCAAAGGAACACAAAACAAACACCCAGAAGAATGAATATACATTTTCCTATCAAGATTTTACTTGTAGCTACAAGCTCTCGGGCCAAATTAATTTCTTGGCGGGCTCGTGGCTGGCACAGGAGGAGGGAATGGGGTTGTTTTGATACGAAGCCACCTGAGCTGGATACCAAATTCTGGAGTAAGAGGATTTATCTTGCTCATGGAATTCAAGAAATAAGAGGGTTTTTTCAAGTAATTTATTGTATGTGGCTGAATGTAGCTGCAAGGCACGAGCTGTAATGCAAGACCAAACCCCAGACACACTTCCACACCACAACCCCCTGCATCACGTTCAGCCCACACGGCGACAGCCCAACCCTCAGCCAGGCAGCACCAGAGCTCCCACCTGTACCCTCAGCTGAGGGCAGAACACTCACCTTGAGTGTGAAGAGGCTGATGCGTCCCGGCAGCTTGTAGAAGAGCCCGTCGCCCCCGCGGGAGTTGGAGTGCAGCATGGCGTTCAGGCAGGCCAGCGGGGAGGTGCCGCTGCAACACAGAGACAGCCCCCTGAGAGAAACCACCCGGAACGCCTGTTCCAACGGGCACCATTTGGCTGCTGGGGAGGAAGGGAGATGATGCTCCTCGAGGTCCAGCAGGGGCACCTCCCCCCGAGCAGCCCTGCTGCTCCGCTTCTGACCCGCACGACGCGGCCACGGGCAGAAACCAGGACACGCGGCACCAGCTCTGAAGTTGCTCTCAGCCATTTTTAGACATTTCCCATTTTTGTTACCTGTTCCTTCCCTTTCTCTTCTTGAAGCTTTCAGAACTGGTTTGGTTTACAAAAAAAAATAATATTTAAAAATCCAGATTCATTCAGCAGTAGGAAGATGTAAACAAACTCGTGTTTCTGGAATGTCCTCCCGACATATCCCAGACAAATCCCCACTAGCAGAGCTGGATATAAAAGGCCTGATGCACTAATTTGTCAAGTTCTACATAACTTCCTGGTTGAAGCACCTACCCTGTGCTCCCACTGATGGAACTTGTTTTCCAGCCTCATGTTTTCCAGTATGTCATACACACACATGCAGAAAGTTACACTGCAGAGGTATCGATTTCATTCTTATTAAAAGTGAAAGTGAAAACTGGATTGAGACCAAATATTTCAAAGAAAATTATTCTCAACTTGAAAACACAGAACAACTTCTGTTTCCACTCTGAGTGTGTTTGGGTTTTTGGACACGTTTTCATAAGCCTTGGCAACAAAATCACCCTGAATCACTTTTAGATACTATGACAAAAATTTCCAGCTTCCTTTCCTGTCAGGCAGTGTTTTCCCCTGGTGTTGAACCCAGTGCCCCCAGAACACTAACCAGCCACAGGGGGTGATTTGGAGAGTGGCAAAATAAATAGTTTTCCCCAAAACACACAAAAAAAGCAGAGTTGTGACCCTCTGAGGAGCTGGAGCTCAGTGGTGGGGCTGGGCCTGTGTCCTGGCTGGAACCCATCAGTGCCCAGCAGCAGAGCAAGAGACCCCGAGGCAGGGAACACTGGCTTGGGATTGATTCAAAGGGAAAAACATATCCAGCCACCAGGCCACTTCCTTCAGGAAATGGAGTTTCAGGAAGAGCTTCAATACAATCACTGGCCAAGTCCATGGCCTGTTTGGCCAGGCAGGATCACACCTTCATTCTGGGAACAATCACACTCTGAAGAAAACAGGCTTTTCTTAAACCAGAGAATTATTGACCAGGGAAGGAAAAGCAGGTATTCTGAGGGAAAAACACAGGCCTTTAATGGAAGAGTTTAACTCTGTGGGATTTAACTTGACACACACTCCAAAGTTTGGTCTTTGGTCACATACTGAATCAGGTCACTTGTCAAACCTGGCAGATAATTTCTGTGTGTGAAGGCAGACCCACTGTTACCTGCAGCAAAGGTAACACACATCTCCAACCATCTGCTTGAGTAGGAGGTGCAGAGCATTGATTAAAACACAGGTACATGAAGGTCCTCATGAAAAGCCCATCAGAATTCTACTCAGAGCAGTGAAATCACTGCCCATACCCAAAGCAGAGCAGATCTTTGTCCTGTGTCCAATTCTGGAACCAACAAAGGAAGGACATAGAGCTCTTGAAACAAGTCCAGAGGAGGCCATGGAGATGATCCAATGGCTGGAGCAGCTCTGCTATGAAGACAGGCTGAGAGAGTTGGGGGTGTTCAGCCTGGAGAAGGCTCCAGGGAGACCTTAGAGTGGCCTTCCAGTGCCTGAAGGGGCTCCAGGAAATCTGGGAGAGGCTGTTTACAAGGGTGTGTAGCAATACGATGAGGGGTAGTGGTTTTAAGCTGGAAGAGGAGAGATGTAGGTGAGACATTAGGAAGAAATTATTGAGTGTGAGGGTGATGAGACCCTGGAACAGGTTGCCCAGGAAAGCTGTGGCTGCCCCATCCCTGGCAGTGTTGAAGGGCAGGCTGGATGGGGCTTGGAGCAACCTGGGCTGGGGGGAGGTGTCCCTGCCATGCAGGGGGGTTGGAACTAGATGATCTTTAAGGTCCTTTCCACCTCAAACCATTCTCTGATTCTGTGATCTCCTCAGCTTTTAGGTACTCCAGCAGCTTGTACCTCCCCAAACAGCAGCTCCCACACCCCCCCTGCCCTGTCTGCATCACCACTGCTCACTGCTCTAACCATCCCAGCTGCTCCCTCAGCTCAGAAACCAAGAGGGAGCAGAAACAAGCTAACGTTTTGAGTTGTTTACCTTCTGCAGCTGGAAGGGGGTCCACAAAATCAAGGTGAGGGGGAAACAATGCCAGAAACAGCCCAAGCACCTGGATTATCCCAAAGCCATCCACGGGGCAGCAGCCAAGAGACTGCTGTCTCTGGTAGTCACACTTGCTTTGTTTGCCACCAGCACTAACTGAGGCATTTGGACTATCACGGTTACCTACTTTCTTTGATCTGCAAGACACTTTCTTTCTCTTCTCCTACTGTCACAGAAACAGATGGAAGTTCACAGGAACTTAACCAAGGGAAACAGCCTCCCAGTCTCCTGCTCCTGTCGCTTCAGAGGCTCTGTATCAGGTTATTCTCCACACAAAACCCAGGCTGAGATGGGCATCTCCTCCACACCAGAGCCACAGGAGGCTGCACTGCCACAGTGCTCAAAAACCTGAGCAGAAGCCAGTATAGGGATACAAAATGAAACTGCGTTTATGAGCCTCTGAAAACATAATGACTGCTCTAGAAATGAAGCATCAGAGGAGACAGAACCTAAAACTGTTCCCAAACTGGAGTCACAACAGCAAAAACTACTGGGAGCTACTCAGGAAAGAACCACACAAATAAGTGGTAAGTACAAACACTGCAGGAGTGAGATCTGCACTGGGCATTTATTTCATAAAGGATGGATTAAGAGGACTCTGTTACCAAAAAGTCCAAGAACAGCTTCCAGTTATTGTCAAAGAAAAACCCCACAACCTGTATATAAACGTCTGCAAATGCCATCTGAAATTATCAGGCTGGAAAGAGAAAAAAGGAAGAGGAAAGGGGGCTGAGGATGAGACAGAATGGCACGAAGCACCACAAGGCTCCATGGGCAGCCTCCCCCATGCTCCACACTGTGGTTTAGACAAGACCATCAATACTAACCTCATTTCCTTTAGTCCTTCAGACTCTATGACCTGCAGAATCTGTTTCGGGGTCATAGGAGCATCAGAGTAATTTTCCAGCACCTGAAAAGGCAGAAAGACCATGTGTTATTACAGAATTTGCTTCCGTATTTACAGAACTGCTCCACAAGTTCAATAACATGCCTCTTAGAACCTTCTTCATCTGCAAAAGACTCACTAACAATTTCAGGCTACTTCAAGATTTGATCTTGGTAAGTATCACAAAAGGTTTACCTTAATCTGGTCCCTAATTAACTGAAATACAGAATCAGAAAATGGCTGAGGTTGGAAGGGACCTCTGGAGACCACTGAGTCCAACCTGCCAGAGCAGGAGCACCACAGAATCCAGGGCAGGTCACACAGAAACACATCCAGAGGGGTCTTGGAAGTCTCCAGAGATGCAGACTCTACAACCTCAAACATGATGGGGAGACACAGCAGCAGAATTTGGCCATGAAACCAGTGGAAGCTCCACCACAGAATTCCATATGCATTAGTCCAGGCTGCTGCCACACACAACCCCCGACCTGCACAGTGGCTGGAGACCCTTAACACCAGGCACCATTCCCTCTGCCATGCACCTTCCCACCCCTCATTGAAGCATCCAGTGTTTTCCTGCCAATGAAACCATTACCTTTCCAACTATGGGATTCAGCAGGGTACCTGCCTGGGTTGTGTCACTAATCTCATCTTTGCTCCATCCCAAGAAGGTTCCACAGGTAAGACTCAGAGATCTCACCACAGAACAACAGAATTCGACAGAGGACAATGGCAACAGTTAAAGGATGTGAAAAAAAAATCTGACTAGAGACACTCTAAAGATTTTGACTGCTTGCCTCTGCAAGAAAATTAGGAAAATCAGGTATTAAAAAGGCAATAGAAGAAATAATGGCTCATCCTGTCATATTTTATATTAAGAATAGAATTGTCACTTAGAGGCTCTGACTTTTTTTTTTTCACCAAAGCCTCTGAAACTTACTACTCAAAAATGCCTAGAAGCAAGAACTCAAAGAGAGGACCGGACATTTCTGTGGATAAGAAGATTACCCACATAAACAGGAAACAATGAACAAAAATAAGCTGCAGTAGATGTAAACCACGATGTTTCTTGGGAGCAGATTACCCTGCAGCTGCCCACCAGGCGCTGTCTCCTGCCATGGCTGCAGGCAGTGCTGCTCCCTGAATGCCCAGCTCCTGGAGCAGCCATGGAACGTGGTGTTCACCAGGAACCTGCTGATCCTCCCTGTGGTCTGAATTCCCCCAGCAGGACAGCCCCAACACACCATCCTGCTTCAGCTGTCCCCGTGCCCCAGAGCAGCCAGCAGTGCAGGGGTGACTTTCAGTCTGACTCATGCAGGAACCCAAACGCCCTGTTTTGTATCAGCAACATCCAGAACTGAGTCAGGACATCCAGAGGCAGAGGCACCAAGTCCACAGGCTGCCTTAAGTCCCACAGCATCACACAGAATGGTCAGGGTTGGAAGGGACCTCTGGAGATCATCAAGTTCAACTCCCCTGGCCAGAGTAGGACCATCCCAGGAACAGGACAGTCACAAAAAAATCAGTATGTTGTGCAGGGCCCCACTTGCATCTCCATGCCATCTGCTGCCTCCAGAAGCAGAGGAAACCCCGATCCCTGCCAGAGCAGTTCTGCACTTCTAATGGCATTTTGTGACAAAAGGAATTTCTTAAATCATCCCCACCCAACCTGTACTTTTCAGATGCCTGAAGATCACAAGCATCAGTGGTGCTAACCTGGCAGGAGATGGAAATCTGAGAACTGGGTAACCTGAGCTAAAACACAATAAAAACACCAGGGGTTTAGAGAAAAGATCAAAGAAAGTGCTAAGCCATATTCAGAGAGTCAACAATTTTCAGTTAGTCAGACCTGCTCCATCACACTTTTTCCTCCACTAGTCAAAAAGCCTCCCCAGGTGTCGCCGTTTCCTCATGAAGTGTCACCCCTGTCACTGCAGGGCAGTGGGGCAGCTGTCACGGGAAACACACCTCATGGGCAGATGCACAAAATGGAACAGGCCTGTTCCGAGCAGCACAGGAATCCTCCACCACCATAAACCCCCCCTGGAGCAGCAGACACAGTGAGCAAAACCCACAGCTGAAAACGGAGCACGAACCAGCATTTACATAAAGATAAAAGAATCTGTGCTCAGGGGAACAATTTCCAATCAACAGCTGAATTAAGTGTACAGACCACTTAATGGAAGGGAGAAGAGATCCTACAGCTTCAGCCAGCATATCCCCATCCCCAGCACTGCCCCTCCAGCCCTCACGCTGCCCGAGGACCTACAGCTTCCACAGCTCATCCTTACCCCCAAAAGAGGCTTTTTTCCCCCCTCCACTATTTCCAAGACTGATAACCCAGGGCTCCTATACCCCTCATTATGGAAGTTTACATCGCCTCCACAATTAATTTACTAGATGCCTGGCTCTGACAGCACTTTTTGAACAGCCCTGTGGTTCTGGGGGGTTCAAATCGATCTTTAAAGGCTTGTTTGATGGAAGGTGCTTCACACGAGCTCTGCAGGAGCAGCAACACTGAAAGGCACTTTGGCCTATGATTCCCAGAAACGTGGAGGGGAATACACAATGCAAGACTGCACGTCAGTAGGGAAAATTAAAAGCATTTTGACAGGGAGCATGTGTAAGAGGAGCGTTAAATAAAGATCTATTTTTAGTGGGTTTACAATCAGTCCTGCAAGTGCAGCTTCACTACTCTGGGTTGCTCTAAGTGGATAATCGAGTACAAGTTCGTTCTATTTCTGGTTCATCAATGGCCCTAAGATGCTGTTGAGGCTTAGACATCTCCTGCACCCACTGTGCCCATGGTTCTGGCCCTTTTCCATCACCCCATGAGGGTGAGGAGGTGTATTCAGAGACGGCTTTGGAGTCACAGTCTTGTGTGCTGCTTCGGGCAGCCCATAAATACTGACTTTCTCCCACCTGTTAGAGCTCAGGACATGTGAATGAGGTGACTCTGTGCAAGGTGCACTGCCTCTGGCCCAAGGTCACCCCCCCAGCAGAGCATCCCACCCACTTGCAGCTTGGCTGACACAACCAGGATCTCAAAGAGAAACCCACCATGAAGTACCAAGCTCCCCAGGACAGTGGTCACAGCATCAAGCCTGCCTGAGTTCAAGAAGCATTTGGATGATGCCCTCAGGCACATGGTGTGATTCTTGGGGTGCCTTACATAGGAACAGGAGTTGGACTCAATGATGCTGAAGGGTCCCTTCCAACTCAGCATATGCTATGATTCTATCAGACCACCACATTCCTGCATTGAAGTTCTACAGGAGCTTGTGTCCTCTTCCAGCTTTTTAAGCAAAGCCATGTGGGTCTAAAATATTAAAATTTACACACAAAAGATTATGCAAGTTGCTGGAAGATAGATGCTTGTCTGATTAGGTTTCCTTTTGGCAGGCAGTAAGAAAACACTCTGAAAGCCAAGGAAATCTTACTCAGGAGGAGCACCAAGACAGAGCTTCAATACCCTCAAAACCAGACAGGAGCCTCAGCCGGAGGCACCCACACTGTCCCCTCTGGATGTCTGTGTGCTCCAGCACACAACCCAGCCTGGCAGACACAACACAAACCCACACAATAGGAAAAACAAGGAAACAAACACCCTCGAGCCCTGTAAACCCACTTCTCTCGATGCCCACACACCAGCCAGCCAGGACAGGCAGAGCCTCACAGCCAAGCACAGACAGGGCCACGGGAGGGAAAGCCCAGGGATCCCTTCCCACCAGCTGAAGGAGATCAGATCATCCCATACTCCCTGTATGGGCACCCCTGGGTCTGTGTCACCCTGTAACTGAGAGGGAGCAGCTCCGGGGCTCAGCAAAGGGAGCAGAGCTCCCTCCAGCCAGGGGACACAGCAGCCACCCCTGGCGAGCAGCAAGCCTGGCCACCTGCAAACAGCCTGGGATGGACCTACTGACACCTTCACACTCACTGCCTGAAAGACACTGAAGTTCTTTTACTTCTTATGAATCAGGTTTGAGACATTTCCTGGGGGGGAATCACCCTCCCCCCCCCCGGGCCGGTCCCCCCTCCGCGCAGGGGGGGAGCTCCCCTGCAACAAGCGGGTTCTGAGACAAAAAGACGGGTTCCGAGACAAAAACCCGCAGCGACGGCTCCTGCAAACCCAGGTTACCCGATACCGCCCGGCCAGCAGCCCCGGGGCCCGGCACC